TTGCATCGGCTCTCTGTGGGTCCGGTTTCCTGCCTTCACTGTCCGAGGTATGTAATTCTTTCCATGAAGAATTTACACTTCTCGTGGCTTAATTTAAAGCCAAAATCTTCTAGTCTTTTGAATATCGCTCTGATGTACGTTTTATGTTCTTGAACATTCTTACTTTTGACTAGAATGTCATCTAAATAGCCGGTACCAAACTCAAGGCCTGCCAACATAGAACAAAGCTGGGGCGACCTTTAAGCCGAAAGGAAGCCTATTTAGCTTATAAATACCTTTATGTGTATTTATACACAAATATTTTGAGCATTCGTCACTCACTTTAATCTGCAAGTATGCGTCAGACAGGTCGATTTTGAAAAATCTTCCCCCATTCAATTTTGAAAAAATATCTTCTGGTGAAGGTAGTGGATAACTGTGATTTTAAGGCAATCATTTAACCCTGTTGAAAAATCTGCGCACACTCTTATTTTTCCGTTTTTCTTCTTAACATAAACTGTGGGCGAGGCCCAATCCGCATGGTCAACCTTAGATATCACTCCTATTTTTTCAAGCCTTTCCAATTCCTTATTAATTGTGTCTAAGGAGGAAAAAAGGAACGTTTCTCTTAGGTTTAAAAATTGGTTTCACATTTTCCTTTAGTTCAAATTTGACTTCCGTCTTAGTACATAAACCTAATCCCTCAGAAAAAAAAAAACTCTGGGATATTCTTCTTTTAATTCATTCATGAATTTTTCATTTTTAATATTTTTTTGTTTTTCTGCACTGTTTATTACGTTGCAAAATGAGTTAATCGGGAGTTCAAACAAATCAAAGAGTACTATCCAGTCTACTCCAAAAAGACTGGAATTAATCCCTTGGATTACATACACTTTCGTTTTTGCAGTCTTGCCACATAACGAAATATTGCACTTTAATTCTCCCTTAAAGTTTAATTTCTTTCCTGAAACCCCTCTAGCGGTTTTTTTGGTTTCAGATAATTTAGGTCTTCCAATATTTTTCCATGTTTGTTCATCAATGATGCTTATGTCTGAACCAGAATCCAATAGGAAAGTAATTGTATGATTATTTATACGTACATCTACGTACTCTCTATTTTTACCTTTCTGAATTTCTTTTTCTGATAATACCAGGCTTACATCTTGTAATTTCCTTTTCTTGCGGCAAACCGAATATTTATGCCCTTTATTTCCGCACGATTGACAGAATTTATTTTTGTACCAACACACGTCTTTGGTATGATTTTTATTTCCGCACGATTGGCAGAATTTATTTTTGTACGTGCACGTGTCTTTGGTATGGTTATTTTTTCCACACGTCTCACATTTTTCTATCTTTTTGGCTTTTGGAGTTTGAGTTTTTACGTGTCGAACTTTAGCAACACATTTTTCCTCAATTTGTATATTATCCCTTTTTACGTTTATGAGACGTTGGCATTCTTCGGTCACCCTTTGTAATGTTATTTTCGAGTCTTGCTCGACCATTATTAATATTCTCGGCCTAATTTCTTTATATTTAGGATCAGTTAGTCCTTGAAGAAAAATTAGGCACTTGAATACATCTTTTTTGTTATTTCTTCTAACTTGAATTGTTCAACCAGAGAGTTCACTGTTCCCGCGTATGTCACAAAATCCTCGCTATCTGCTGTAACGATGTTTAGGCATCTGTAACGCGTGTGGAACAGACTATTCCTTTCGTCAAATATTTTTGACAGAATACTTATAGTTTCTTCAAACGAAACTTCTTCTGGTTTTCTGGGCAATATCAAGTTTGCGTACTTCGTATTCTCGTTTGTCCCTAGTTTCTGGACTAATAATGTTACTCGTTCCTCATCCGACCAATGTTGACATCTCTTGGTAAATATAGTTTCGAAACGTTTAAAGTATGCTGGAAATGTAATGCCCGAATCAGGATCATAAATAAATTCGGATAATGAATTTGCTATTCCTTCGGCAGAAAAAACAGTATTTTTTCTTTCTCCAGTGGCCTGTTTCAAAATTTTTTCGAGACTTTTTTTGCTGTTGCAATATTTGTTGTTGTAAGTCTTGGTGCTGTTTTTGTTGCTGTTGTTGTAACTCTTGATGCTGTTGTTGTTGCTGTTGCAAGCTTGTACACAGCATTTTAGTCATTTCGACTAATTGCTCCATCCTGACTTTATTTAGAATTCGGCAAAAAATTTTTTTTTTTTTTTTAGACGGTTAACAGACAATTTAACAGTAAAAATTTTCTTACTTTTCAAAAAGTTTCCTTTTGACTTGTGACTCCGTTTTCCAAATCCTAATCGGCGTCAACAGATATCTTTGACTTGCGAATCTGCATCCGAAATCCGTTCAGCGTAATCTGATATATATATATATATATATATATATATATATTTTCAGGTAAGTACGTTGCACAATCCTCGTCGCCAGCTGTTATATCTCGTGCAAGATATAATAAACAAAGTAAACCCGAGTGTTGGTTTTCAATAATAATTTTATAATCGGATGTAGGTATGTCAAAATACAGAGACAGAGTCGGGAGTATGCTAACCTCAATAGGTGTTAACAAACAAAGACCTTTTGACTGTCCGCTGTGGTCGTACTTAATCGGCAACCAGTCCGTCCATTATCGTGAATGGGGAAGTTGGGTTATATCATCACAACAGAATGTTACAAGCAAGAACTTCATTTTATTAGCCACTTCCCATACTGCTTGCATTTTTCATCTGTGTTTTAATGTATCTGTAAGAGACGAACTGTGACAAATATATAGGTATGTATTACATGTTTAGGTTATAATCTCGAATCTTAAAATCCCGAATGTCAAAATCCCGACATTTGAAATATTAAAAATTGAAATCCCGAAAAATCAGAATCCCGAAATTTAAAATCCTGAAAAGATCAGAATCCCGAAAAATTGTCTTTGGAAGAAATTGAAAGAAAAAAAAAATTGGAAATATCTTTATTTCTAAACATTTACAGAATAGCTTTTAAATAGTGTTTATATATTTGAAACATTCAAAATTCAAAAAGTATAAAACCAGAATATATGAATAATTTATGATGAAAGATTATGAACAAGAGCCCTGAGATAATCCATAAGATCTGGTCGGTTTTCGCAATCGTTAAACTATATTTTTAAACTTTTCATCACGATAAAACACACACATTTTTTTCCTTTTGTACAAGACTCTCCTCGAAGAATATGTTCACATTCGTTTTCTATTCGCTCCTGCTCTTTTTGAAACTCTACAATAATTTGATAAACACCGAGTGTTGCCATATTCTGGTTATATATATATATATATATATATATATATATATATATATATATATATATTTAATGAATTTTGAATGTTTCAAATGTATAAACACTGTTTAAACGCTATTTTATAAATATTACTTATAGCATAAAAATATACAAGCATTTCTTAACGACGAGTTTGGTTTTGTGAGGCGATCATTGATGTTTGATGTAAGTTACGAGGTGGTGGCAGCTAGTATGCATGACCAGAATTGACATAAATTTACGTAAGTGAACGCAGTTTTTTGGTTTTTGATCGTAATATTTTTTGGTTTTTTGATCGTAATATTTACAAATAAATATGTTTTCCGCAATTATCTAATATTTTATTGACTTTTATTTACCTTTCGAAGATGCTTTATGCAAAAATGAAAAATTTAAAATACTATAAAATTTTCTGAAGTTAATTTTGTAATTTAAATGAATGAATTGCAGACGAGCGAATTTCTCTGTAAAAGGCCAAAACTGTTAGATCACGAGACCTTTTCATAATAGCATGTTTAGACTACCATAGATGAAAAAAGGGAACGAATTAAGTAAAGAAAATAAAAAATTATTTTAAAAATAAAATGGTAGAACTACGTTTATTAATCTTTTCAATTTTGGATTCGTAAATTTCGTTTTGACCTTAATGACCTCCAGTAAATAGTGCAATTGCAGAATGTTAAACGATTTTTAAACTATTATAAATTATTTTAATTAAAATGTTAAAAAATGAAAAAATTCTTGTAAAAATTCATTATTTATCCAAAAACTTTTATTTCTTCATATCATAGAGTCCTTAATTTAATTTATTTACAAAAGCAATTAAAAGCTTTTCTAATTAAATTACGTCATAGTTTGATTACACTTTTTTAGTTTACTATTCGAAGCAGATTTTCAGTCAGAATGGTAAAAGTTTGAGAAAAGAAATTGAATGATTTACATTCCCCAAGGTGTCCTATTTTTAACTATTAAATATTCAAGAAATAGAAAAGTATTTCGCGAAATTTCATGAAATTAAGTGGGGGTAACATGTGTAAAAAAATAAATATTACAAAAATTTTCTAAAACAAAAAATTTCAAAAATAATTTAATTCATTTGTGAATAAGTCCTGAAAGTTTCATTAAAATCCGACTATTATTTGATTTTTGCAAGAATTTCCAATTTAATGGGTTTTCACCGGAAAATAGCGCCAAAACAATTATTTTGTAATCATTACATTCCCTGAGGACGTAAATAAAACAAGATTTTGAACCAAAATTTCGAACGTGCTAGAAAGGATTTAAAAATTTCAAAAAATACTTTGGTCTTTTATTTTAATAATAACATAAACATTTTGAAGATAAACCTTTGCTTTTATTAAGTTTGTGACCTTTTTCATTATGCTATGCTGTTTTCCCGCGAAAAAGTTGGGGTACCTATTACATGTTCGCATAATATATTTGCATTCTTCTGTGTTTTATGCAAAATGTTTTTGTGTGTAACTCAATTTTGGAATTGACTTCTCACAGTTTTGTAGTTGTAGCTTTAATCGTATTAAAATATTACGGATGAACTAATGTTTATAATGGGCTTTGGAGAGAAGTGAGAATCAAGATATTTCTCTCTCTGTCCAAACACCACATTTGTTTTAATTTCAGAAGATAATTGTAGAAATTTAGATGATGATGATGATGATGATAGGAGATATAGAAAAGAAAGGTAGAATTTTTTTACAAAATTGAAATCCTACAAAAGTCAGAGAAAGAAGAAGAAGAAGAAGAAGAAGAAGAAGAAGAAAATTGACGTTGAATCTCGAGAAAATAATATTAAATGAGAAGTTCTCGTTGAAGGAGAACCAAATAAATCTGATTTTAAAATAATTTGGCCTTCAAATCTACTAACCGGTCGGCTGTTTCGCACCAACCTTGTAGATTCCCTTGGACGGAAATAGGTTTGTAATATATATTACGTGTATATTTGCAAGCCACACTTGTGGTATTCCGCCGTAAGTTGTATCTTTAATTTCAGTAAGGTAATTAAAGGTTGACTCTTATAATTGTCAATATACAGTAGTTTAACACACACCGGATCCGGAAGCTGTAAAAGTGTGCTTCATTTACTCCGGAAATGATATCTGACAAACTCTATGACCGATCTTCTATCTTGTTAAAGGTTTCGGTATTTGCTACTTTAAACATTTAGAAATGCACTCGTTTACCATTCTTACGAGTGATAGGATACCCTCCCTTTATTTTTATTTTATTTTTTTTTGCCTGGGTTAGAATACTGACGACCCAGTGTGGATCGAACACTCTACTCAGCAGTAACAAATCCAAACTGACTTCTCTATTACCACACTTTTAATGCACTCTACGGAACTTGATCGAGTTTCCAGGAACTTTACTCAAGATAAACCACTCCAAAACAGAAATAATCTACAACTGGAATGAAAGCAGCGATGGCATATAAGAAATTCAGAATGTAGATATAGTTAATAACCAACACTTCAACTAAATCGGTGTATGAATCAGTTCTAAGAAATTTGGCATAGGAGATAAGTAAATTGAACATAGAATAAGCTAAGCTGGGGGTAGTTTCGCCCAATACCGCAAGTTGCTACAAAACTAAAACAGTAAATTGAAAACACGAGACGTTATTGCTCTTTCCAGTTCTTCAACCTCTCCTATGGATGCCATGCATGGCACCAAATCCTTTCAGAGATATCTAAATTCAGAAATATCAGCTGTATACAACCGCTTTCTAAGATCACTGTTTTAAAAAAAAGGCTTTGAGCGAATGACGCCTGTAGGACTTGGTAATCAATATTCTTCGAACTTTTTGGACTGACGCTACATAAGCACAAAGAACCGCACCAGATGACAGAAATGACATCACTTGAGGACTTTCAACAGCAGTAACAATAAAAATTGCTACCACATGTAACTCGGAGAGAAAACCAATGGTATTATTTAAGTTGTTGACATTCAAATCTATTTGAAATAAAAGGTTAGGAAGAAAACCCCCATCATTACTGGAAAGAACAATAATGTTGAAAACCTAATATCTATTTTAGTCAATCTATCTCAATCTGTTTATATCTATCTATATGTATTAAATATTCCTGTCTATATCACACACACACACACACACACACACACACACACACACACACCGTCCCACTACAAGGAATCAGTACATACACACACACATATACATACACACATACGTACACACACATACTTCCCAAGTTACATGAAACTAGTATACACATATATACACACACATATATACGTATGTATGTACATACATGCACACGTACTTCCTAAGTTGTGTGGGGTTTGTCTACGTGCCCGTTAGTAGTTCCTTGCTTTTGTCAACATGTCTCTATATATATTTTTTTTCGTGCTCCACAGATACCCGCATGTGAGCGTGCGTGTGTGTGGGTGTGTGTGTGTGTATGTGTACAAATGTGTTTACTAATTCCTCGTAGTGAGACTGTGTGTATGTATGGAGGTGGAATATACGCACGCATATATACACGCATGTTGACAGAAACACACGAAAATGGAAATAGATCTAAAAAACACACAGGGGTCATTAAAGCATTAAAAGATAAGATACCGATAAGTAATTCATCATTTCTCTTGGACCAACCTTAATTGTTTTATGACCCTTCGCGCAGAACTCTTCCCTGCCAGTTCAAGAAAGACATTCTGATCACCAACACAAAAACAGAGAATGTCTCATATCGAGAATATTTAACACTGAAAAACATAAAGAAAAAAATTAATTATTTTTAATAATATGTGAAAATCTCCACCCTTTACCTGATGACGGTCACGAAACCAGAAACACGTGTAGTAAAATTATGGAAAATAAAGCATAATATTTTTTTTTAAATCCACATTACAACCAAAAACCTTTGCGGTATCTCTCTTCTTTTTAATATACACACTTTTCTCTCGTTGAAACTACTATAACCTCTCCCCTATATATATATATATATATATATATATATATATATATATATATATATATATATATCCAGGTAAGATAAGAACGAATGGAGTATAATTCCACTGTCCGTAAGATTTAAGTAAAAACAAGGAATGAATACAGTAGAGTAGAGATAAATATTTATTATAGGAAATTAAAACAAAACATGTTAAAAATCGTTACACAATAGTAACCGTGTTTCAACACTACAAATGTGTCTCTCTAGGCGATGGTAAATTACTGGTGAGTGAACAATTAATTTCACAGGCAGAATACTTCCTCGTTTTTTAAAGAGAAGGCAAAAAACAATTAAAACGCGTCTCGTGGCTTTACCGTGATTACCCAATCGAATATGAGGCCTACACTAAAATCCAAAACAACCTAAAAAAATATAAAGGTCATGACATGAAATTCCCTACTTATAAAATCCATGACAGTTTCGTTTGTGACTAATACAAATGATTACATTATTTCATAAAATATAGAGAAGTATGGCGTTCAACTTTCACAGGAAATTAATGGGAAAGGATAGGGAGATAATCTAGCATAATGTTAACTAGTTATATGCTCAGGCATCTTCCTACATAGAATTTTATAGTTGATAATTAAATAGCTTCTTTAAGAAACAGGTAAAAAAAAAAAGATTCATAAATTCAAAACAACTTTGGTAAAGTAATATGCAACCGTTAATTTGTTAATAATACAAACTAATCAATATAAGATGTTTATAATACTAACTAGACATCTATTCAGAGCTATATTAAATCTAAACGAATTTTACAAAAAAAATAGTAAACCATATAAGGCGCACCGCTGTACATCTCCCAATTTTTACTGTAAGAAAAAGTATTGTCAAATTTGAAAGTTAACCATATTGTAAGGTAAAAGGTAAACTATGCCTACAATTTACAATTAGTTCACTTCTTTGGTTTAATAAGGATTCTTTTTCAATAAATTTGATAATTTCTATTTTCTCATGTAAGCATAATAAACAATGTTCATTTAAAGATTTACACGTTCTAGCTTTTTTAATAATATCCATTTTATTACAGGAGCTTTATTAACTTCTTTTAAATTCCAAAAATATTTAGAAAGAGATATAATATTTTTATAAGTACTATTGGTGAAGGATAATATATGTTGGTACCATCTAGTCTTAAACGAATTCTTAGTAATCCCACTATTAAATTTTTCAACAGTCGGTTTTTCTATAGTAGAAATAGTACTTAGATAAACAAGTGTGTTGGTCATACACTAGTTTTGCAATGGGCATTCTTTAGAATTCCCCCTATTACATTGGCTAATATTATCAACAATATTTATGTTGGAAATTGCATTGTCACCCTAGTTTTTAAATTGGTTTAAAATTTATTATTGATATTCTTTATAATCTTCTCAAGATTATCGGTGCAGCTATAACTTAGTTTTAGTTTAATCATTTGTATCAGTCGCAAACAAGACTGTCATGAATTTCTATATAGACAACTTCATGTCATGGCCTATATATTTTTTTCGGTTGGTTTGGATTTTAGCGTAGGTCTCATATCTCATATATCATATTTAATCACGGTAAACCCACAAGCCTCATTTTAATTCTGTTTTATTTTTTTATTTTTTTATTTTTGGCCTTCTCTTTAAAAAAATAGAGGAAGTATTGTACTTTTGAAATTAATCGTTCACTCACCAGTAATTTACCATCGCCTAAAGAGACACATATGTAGTGTTGAAACACGGTTGCTACTGTGTAACGATTTTTAACATGTTTTGTTTTAATATCCTTAATCTCTAAGTTCTAGTGTGAGTTCAATACCCGGCTAAGGCAGTGGAGAACTTGGAGAGGGAAATTAACAGGAAATAACTGATAACTGACATCCATTAAACATGGTACGTGGAACTAGAACAGTCTACCCCAGTGAGCGAAATAAAGGGTTCAGTTCGACATTCCAACCACCTGAAGAAGGCCGGAGCCTACAACGGCCGAAACGTTGTAATAAATATGGTGACAAAGATGAGGACAATAGTTTGAATAATGTAAATAATTTAGATTTCGCATTAAAAAGAAATCTTGTGCCAAGCTCAGTTTAGCAAGAATATTGAAAGATATCCTCAGGCTAATTCTTTGCTATTCTTTAATGACTGACTCTGCCAGACAATTGCTGCTGTTTTGTTCATTTTCCCCTCATTTTTGCCGCCATGTTAAAGAAGCCAGATATAGTTCTTTGCAGTTATATACGAAACTATATTTTCTTCCAATATCTAAATAAATGTCCCGCTTGTGTCAAGTAGCAGACGGTTTTTTCCCGATGTATACGTCTTTGAACTTTTTTTTTTAATGAGATCAAAAGAAAAATCAACCTATATTTCTTTTTAGCTTGATAAAGAATATCAAAGAATTTCCTTCAAATCATTAACACCATTAAGGTGAGAGATACACAAGACAGCTAGAATGTTATTTAATTACATTTCGTTTTAAGAGAATTTTTTCCTGTTTTTCTTCTTGAAAAATAAAACAATATCGGCAGTCGTGCTTAAATGAATTCATAGATCCATTAACAGCATTATTAAAATATTCAGAATTTCGAAGCTCTTTATCCGTCTCTCTCATTAACCTAAAATGATTAAGTCAATTCAAATAGACGGAACTTACTTGGAGACTCAGTTATATACACATTTCCGATGTCGCCACTAGCAGTTCGATTACAGGAACGGATTATTATCTTGAATACCGATTTTCTAGACAAGCAAGCAATCCTTTCCGATTTTGAAAATTAAAACAAATACAGATTCATTTCATCCACGATTGATAGGTTGGCTGATTTTACGGTTTAAGCCCTCTTGGGACATTTATCATAGGATTTGCTATATGGCACTCAGTGAGAAACGATCTCATTACTCAGTAGTGAAGTTCAACCAGATTCGCCTCCTTATCCATTGTCAAACGGTAAGACACCCAAGATAGATAGATAGATAGATAGATAGATAGATAGATTTCAGTATACTCTGTGAGTATCAAAATTTCCAAGCCCTCTTTCCTCATTATGTGCCCTAAAAATTTCAACTGCTTATTCCTGATGTTAAGTATAAGTGTCCTTTTTGTTTCCGTTTTCTCTAAAACTTGCTAGGTAGGTAATGCATTGTTTTTCTCTATCCCTCTTTGGCTACAATCCGTCCTGTGAGTATCAAATTTTCTACGCCCTCTTTCCGCATTATGTGCCATAGAACTTTCAAAGCTCTCTTCCTGATATTAAGTATAAGTGTCCTTTTTGTTTCCATTTTCTCTAAAACTGGCTAGGTAGGTTATGTGTTGTTTTCCTCTATTGCTCTTTGCCTTCAATCTGTCTGTGAGTATCAATTTTTCCAAGCCATCTTTCCTCATTATGTGCCCTAGAAATTTCAGTTGTCTCTTCTTAATGTTAATTGTAAGTGTCCTTTCCGCTTCCATTTTCTCTAACACTTCGGTCGGTGGTATTCTCAGCATCGAAAATTTTCTATTTCTTAATCCTTTGCTTAGCTTTTGGAAGGCATCTTTCCCTATCCTACAGCTCCTTTGTTTCTCGATGCCGCACTTTCCGCCCTCCGTTAAAAGACTTCCCAAATATTTAAATAGCTGCACTTGTTTATTTCCGGGATCTCTAATTTGTAAGTTGCATGTTGGGCTTTCCTTTTGCTAACAACCATACATTCTATCTTCTTTCAACTGATGTTTAGTCCTTTCTTCTGGCTTTTCTTTTACTGCCATCTTTAGAAATTCTTTTCTGCGTCTGCTATCAATACCGCCCCAGCTACATATCTTATTTTGTTAAGATTTTGGCCGCTAAATGTTCAGCATTCTCCCACTTCACTTATTGTTCGTTGATTTTGCCACATGTCATACCTTGCCGGATTGTCTAATGTCGAATTTTATACAGGGACATTGTGAGGATCGAACTCACTACTCGCGTGCACTGTATATGCTGGCGTATAAGACGACCTCTAAATTTTCAGCTTAAAATGTAGGTTTCGAGCTATATTTGCCGTACAAGACGAACGCCGTAATCGTACTTATACTGAACTGATTAAATAAATTCAGTAAGTATATACTTTCTTTTCATTCAAATTCTAATGAAAAAAACGGTGGGAAGATACTGTCAATGAACCAAGGACAATCTACAATATCCGAGGAGTGAGTGTTGTTTTCAGTAGGCTATTACAGTAGCCTGAATAACTCCACCCCACCCGTAACCATCCATTCTTTCCACTGTTCTTGAATGCAATCTTTAAACGGCTTGTTGAGACACACATCCAGTTGTGTTTTGTTCAACATAATCGAAAAAGTAAGCGAGATATTGCCGATTAACTACCTCAAATTTATTGTTACCCCTACCATAATCTACCCGATACACTTACCGTTAACCGGTAATGATCACGCGATCGCGCAAGCTAATAACTTACCATAAACGACAGGATTTAAGGTTCACATTTTATACAAGGAGTATAGCCCCTAATTTTGTGGGGATTTTTAAGGTGAAAAATGTAGCCTTAATATAACGGTAATAGTCAACAGTTTAGCCTCATTATCAAACGATGAGGAGACAAAGAAAGAAAGAAAGAAAGAAAGAAAGAAAGAAAGAATAGATAGATAGATAGATAGATAGATAGATAGAAACAATGAGACTATATAGATAGAAAGACAGAAAACAGAGACTAGATAGATAGATAGATAGATAGATAGATAGATAGATAGATAGATAGATAGTAAACAAAGAAACTGCATAGACAGTTAGAATGAAAGAAACAAACAAACAAACAAAGAAAAAAAGAGACTAGATAGATAGATAGATAGATAGATAACAAAGAGACTGCATAGAAAGAAAGAAAGAAAGAAAGAAAGAAAGAAAGAAAGAAAGAAAGAAAGAAAGGAATAAAACAAAGTATTCTCCATTTGAAGCAATGCACCGGTCCAGACGTGTTTTCTCCTGTTCAAAGCAGTCCTGGAACTCTTGTGAAGTTATGATTTTTAACGACTCCGTCGTCTCCTTCTTAACCTCTTCCACATCAGCAAAACATTCTTCTTTGAGGACTTTCTTCATTCGGGAGAACAAAAAAAAGTCCCAGGAGGCGAGATCGGGTGAATAGGGAGGGTAGGGAAATGGAGTCATGCCATTCTTGGTCAGAAACTGTCTCATACTCAAAGCGGTGTGCGCTGGTGCATTGTCGTGATGCAAGCACCACCCTCCACTTTGCCACAGGTCAGGGCGTTTTCGTCTCACCTTGTCTCGCAAACGGTTCAAGACTTCCAAGTAAAAAAATCTGATTAACAGTTTGACCAGAAGGAGCAAATTCTTTGTGGAGACTTCCTTTCACATCAAAGAAACAAATCAGCATTGTCTTGACATTGGACTTCACTTGACGCGCTTTTTGGGGGGTTGTGGTGACGTTGAATGCTTCCACTGACTTGATTGCTGCTTCGTTTCCGGGTCGTAGCCATAGCACCAGTTTTCGTCACCAGTGATGACCTTTGAAATACGCTCTGGATCAACTTCCAACTGTTCTTTCAGTTTACGACAGGCATCCATTCGTGACTGCTTTTGATCGTCCGTGGACAAGAGAGGCACCATTTTCGCTGCAACTCTTTTCATTCACAATACCTCAGTCAAAATTCGTTGACATGAACTCCAGGACACACAAGTCAAATCAACAGTCAATTGTTCGGTGACGGTCTTCCAATATCATTCCATGAATTTGTATGATGCTTTCAACTTTTCGGGAGGTTGAAGGTCGCCCTGAACGAAGCTGGTTTTCCAGCGACAATTGACCATTCCTAAAGCGTTCAAACCACTCATAAACTTCTGTTTTACTCATGGCAGCATCCTTGTAAGCTGTTTTAAGCATGACAACTGTTTCGGCTGCTGTTTTCCCCAGCAAAAAAAACAGAATTTCACAGCAGCACGCTGCTCCTTCCTTTCAGCCATGGTAAAAATAGACGAAAAGGCGTGAAGCACTTCAAAACAAAAGTAAACCACGAGGCTGTACGTCTTCCCACGATGACACCAGTTAGCACATTGATGCCTGAGGGTTGCCTCAAATGGCATCTGACAGTGGAAGCCTGAACTACTACGGGCTTGTCACACAGAAAACGATTCCGGCTACTTTTGGGTTCCCTCCTCATATAAGTGCAGTACTAGATTGAACAGTAGAGATGGCTCGATATTACCGTAAGTTCTATGCTGACAGTTTCTTCTATTGCGCTTCTCCCTTGTGAAACTTTCTTCTTTCTTCCCAATCAACTTTGATCTTTGAAATATTTAAAATATCAATCGTTATCTTCTTTGTTCTTAATTACTGTTCTTTTATTGTCCTCTCTCCTTGATAGTGTTTTTTCTCATATTCCCTAACACCCAGTAACCCCCTGTGTCTTAGTGGCCTTATTGCCTTGCTTGGAGTGAAATAGTAGAAAACAAAGAAACTGCATAAAAGAAAGAAAGAAAGAAAGAAAACAGATAGATAGATAGATAGATAGATAGATAGATAGATAGATAGATAGATAGATAGAAAACAAAGAGACTGCATAGATTGTTAGAAAGAAAGAAAGAAAGAAAGAAAATAAAGAGATTAGATAGATAGATAGATAGATAGATAGATAGATAGATAGATAGATAGAAAACAAAGAAACTTCATAGATAGAAAGAAAGAAGGAAAACAAAGGGACTAGATAGATAGATAGATAGATAGATAGATAGATAGATAGATAGATAGATAGATAGAAAGAAAACAAAGAGACTGCAAAGACTGTTAGAAAGAAAGAAAGAAAGAAAGAAAGAAAGAAAGAAAGAAAGAAAGAAAGAGATTAGAAACATCAATTTAACTAAAATATATACAGCTAAAGACAGAATTATTAACACACCCCATGAAAATTTGGGACTTTTTTTTTTAATTCTGTCTCAAATAATTAACAGGTGAAATAATTTTTAACACCGGATTTCGTAATGTATTAATTTCATTTTGGAAGCATTTATTATTTTACTTTGCAAAAAAATAAAACAAAATTAGTTCAGAATTTTTTTTTAAAATACCGACGTCATTATTATTAGCTCACTTTTTGATACTAATAACCAATTGTGTATCCTTTGCAACCGCCGTTTGGTCTCGTTTCCAAACGTGTTTTAGGCAAGTCTCCTGAGGAATACTTTGCGCATTCGTCTTTTGAAAACATTTCAATCTCCGTAATGGCACAGACACGGTGCTTATATTCCTTATATTCCTCCTACAGATTTTATAAGGGATTTAAGTCAGATCTTCGTCCAGACCAGACAATAACATTGACTTTGGCTTCCTGGAAGTATATCTCCACCAGTCTCCCTCAGGACGTTGTCACGCTGGAAGACAAAATGGTGAACGAATTTAGTTTACGACTGAACTAATTTACATGTTTTTTTTTTTTTTGTTTTTTTTTTTCAAATGTTCTCCTATTCAACTTGTTTTTTTATTATTGTTTACATTATTTGAACTGTTATCCTTATCTTCATTGCCATATTCGCAACGGTTGTATGCTCCGGCCTTCTTCCAGTGATCGAAATTTCGAGCCGAACCCTTTACTTCGTCCACCGGGATAGATTTTTCTAGTTCCACGTGCCACGCCTCTTACAGACGACTCAGTTATTTCACTTTAACTCAGCTCTACAAGTTTTGGGGGTCACCACTGCTGTAGCCTGGTACCTTGGTTTGGTTTGGTTTGCACTATATCAACCTCAATGGTTATTTAATGCCGACAATGTTTTTATTGCTGGTAATAGTTTTTTTTCCAAAAATTATTTCTGGTAGTATTTTTCCCAAAAATGTATTGCTTGTATTAAAGTCTATTTTTACACATTTTGACCCCAGTTTGAGGTTTAAGTATTTGCCCATAACTGGGACCCTAACAGGTGCTACCACCACGGATCAGGGTGGACCTGGGAGCACCAGTAATTTAGAGGTGGTTCCACGCTTCTCAAAACCTCCTGATCAGAGGCCTTGCTGTTGGATGCATTTTATCGTCATACCCAGGACGCCTTGGTATGGAACTCACAACTCTTTGGTTCTAGTCACTGGATCTAGCCAACGCCTTTATCCACTGGGCCAAGTTTCCTTGTAGATTAGAACAACAGTCCGAATAATGTAAATAATGTAAGTAATCATAATACCTCATCCCAGATTATACAGACAGATATTTTTCTTATTACTTCAAACTTTATGTTTAGTGGATACTCATATTTAAGTAGACGACCCGTTTTCTAAACAGTGTATATTACATCTACCGGCTTGCGCACTGGATAAAACTTAGCAAAGAACATGTGCTCTCTAGAGAGGCCCGAAACTGCTCCCCTTGTTATAGTAAATAACCACCTTCTGATCTGGCGTGTTTAGACCGCTCGGCTACAGAGAATCTCACAGCCCTAGAAACTTTGTTATTTAGCCTTTTATGGAAAGAACACCCCCTCGTTCAGAGGATCATATAAGCTCATTTTCGTATTCGAAACGTAAACAAAGCAATTACTAAAGGATACATGGATTTATTTTTAATTCGACATTTTTATCACTTCAAGCTTTATTTTAGTGGGCTGCGCAATCACGAAAACAATTTAAAAAAATGCACTCTCCAGCAGGGTTTGAACCAGCTCATCTCTTTGTAGAAGAAACCAACGTCTGATCCAGTGTACTTCATACCGCTCAGACACACCTACAGTCCACTAAAACGTCCTGGGTATGACGATAAACTACATCCGCTTCCAGGGTAAGACGATAAACTTCATCCGTGTCATAGCTAAGACGATAAACTACATCCGCGTCCTGGGTAAGACGATAAACTACATCCAACAGCAAGGCCTCTGATCAGGAGGTGTTGAGAAGCGTGGAACCACCTCTTAATTGCTGGTGTTCCCAGGCCCACCCTGACCCGGGGTGGTAGCACCTGTTAGCGTCCCAGCTATGGGCAAATAGTTAACTCCGAAACTAAGGTTAAAAGCATTATGAAAGTGCAAAAATAGGTTTCAATACCAGAAATACTTTGTAAAAGAAATTATTACCAGAAATAAATTTTTGAAGAAAAAAAAAACTATTACCAGCAGTAGGTTTTTGAAAAAAAATATTACCAGCAATACATTTTTGAAAATAATATTACCAGCTATACAATTTGGAGGAAAAATACAGTGTAACCCGGGTATAAGAGAGTTGTCGGGACCGGAGAAGAAGTCTCTTATATCCGGGTTTCTCTTATATCCGGGTTTGGTCTATTTTGTTTAGGTAAGTATGGGCTCTAATTTGGGACCAGAGAAAATCTCTCTTATATCCGGGTTTCTCTTATATCCGGGTTTGGTCTATTTTGTTTAGGTAAGTATGGGCTCTAATTTGGGACCGGAGAAAATCTCTCTTATATCCAGGTTTCTCTTATATCCGGGTCTCTTATATCCGCGTTACACTGTATTACCAGAAATAGATTTTTGACAAAAAAATATTATCAGGAAAAAAAGTTGTCAGCATCAAATGACCCATTGAGGTTGATATGGCGTAAAACAAAAACCAAACAGTCCAATAAAAATAAGCTTCGTAGTAATATAAATGTCGGATTAAAAATAAATCTAATAATGTTTTTAGAAAATATTAACCTTTCTTGATTCCTTCCCAAGATTCCCTGTTTCGGAAGTGCTGTTTCAACCCCATGGTATTTCACTCAATGCTTACATCCATGCGCAGAACTTTAGCAAATGTCTTCTTTGACACTTGGCTAACTCGTCCACTGATGTTTTAATTCTTTAGATAAATTTCTCACACGTTTTCTTTCTAGAGTCTTTGAAAGTTTTCATTTCCAACTTCTGGCAGACTTTGGTTCTGTTTGAGGTTTTTGATAATATTTCTCACTTCAGTTCTAAACTTTTGGAAACTTTCTGATAATTTTGTATCTCTTTTTCTTGATTTGTGAATATGAACAGAATTTTTTTTTCTTGTTTAGTGTAAACGATGTTTCTCTTTTCTGTTTTTTTTTTTTTTACATGATTCTTTTACAAAAGATAGTTCAATCGCTTGTTCAATTTGTTATCTTGTGTATATATGGGTAGGGATGCATATGCAACCTTCTTTAACCCCCCCCCAACTATCCCAATGGGTCTTAATTTGTTATCCTATGTGTATGGACGTAGAGATGCATATGCACATCTGAGCAACCTTCGTTACCACGACCTTCTCCTAATAGGTATTAATTTGTTATCCTATGTATAATTCTTTTCTTGCTTTTGACAACATTAGCCATTGAGGTCATTTAATGATGTCAAATGACCCCAGTACACGACAGTAGGTTTTGTTAGGGGTCAACAAAATGGACGTCTGGACGAGTGGAATAATAATATTGATCTTGGTAGTTTTGGGTTTGTTTCAAATAATTCTTTTATTGTGTGCAAATAAAAAGAATTTAGTGTGATATTTATGTATCTCTTCTGCAGAAGTGACTTTGTCAAATGACCCCTTAAACCCTTAGTAACTGTTTCATTTGAGACTTTAATTCAAAACTTGGTTAATTTATCTCTTATGTTTTGGCATTTGTTGTAGGCTCTTTAAAAACATCTGTCATTAGTCTTTAAAAAGATAAAGTGCCCTTTTTGCAGAAGAGACATTTCTAAACCAGACTGAAGTATGTTAAGGAGAAAGCATATCATAATATCGAATAAGATAAAATTCTTTTTCTTCTGTCAGTCTTGTTCTATGACATGTGGCTCTCTTTGAATTTCTTGATAATTTTTCTCACTGCAGTTCTTGATGCTTGGAAAGTCTCTGATAACTTTGTATATCCTTCTGCATTGTGAACATCAACAATTCTTTTTCAAGTCTAAACTAATTCTTTTTCTTATTTTTGACATCATGTTTTTACAAATGACGTCTCAAAGCCTTAGTTGTTATATTGTTGCATATGTTGGAAGATAATTCCATTAGTAAAAGTATGTTCCACTCAAAGAGCTTCTTCCTACTTTCTTTGAGACTTCAGTTTGAACCTGAGTTAAGTTATTTACTTATGTTTTGATATTTGTTCTAAGTTCTTTAGAAACATCTCTCTTTAGTCTTTTACTTTCTTTTGTTAGTTTTGTTTTATAACATTTGACTCTCTTTGAATTTCTTGATAATATTTCTCATTGCGGTTCTTGACTCTTGGGAACTCTTTGATAACTTTGTAAATTCTCTCTCTTGTTTTGGGAGCATCAACAATCCTTTTCCTCAAGTCTAAATTAATTTTCTTTGTTTAATATAATGTTTTCAAAAATGACAACTCAAAAACTTATTTAAATTGTGTTTATATTTAAAGATAATCCTCAGTGTTAATTTCAATTCACAAGATTAGAACATTGATAATGTAAAGCCCATCAGTACACGACAGTAGTTTTTGTTATGGGTCAACAAAATGGATGTTTCTAAAGTGACAAATAATAATATTGACCTTGGTAGGTTTTGATTTGTTTGAAATAATTATTTTATTGTGTTCAAATAAAAAGAATTTAGTGTGACATTTATGTATCTGCAGAAGTGACTTTGTTTTTTTGGTCTGTGATTTTGCAATTCATTCCTCTAAATGGTTCTAGTGGCTGTCTTTTTTGAGACGTCAATTCCAAACTTGGTTAAGTTTGTTCACTTGTTTCTTGGCATTTGCTCTTATGTCTTTAAATACATCTTAAATTACTTTTCCTTCCGGAGGATTTGAAATCTTTTGCTTCCTACCTCTTCCAGTCTTATGCTATAGCTCTACAGAAACGGCAGTTCGCAAGATGGAGGCTAATAATACTGACCCTTGAAAGATTTGAAATATTTGAAATAATTCTATCATCACATGCAAATATGAGGAAAGTTACTCTTACAAAAGATGACTGGTATGTTTAGCAATACTGCATTAAAAATTCATAGTCTTTTTACATATAACCTAATTCTGTTCTTGTTTTTGATATGACACATTCACAAATGACAACTCAAAGCCTTAGTTGTTATATTGTGCATATACTGCAAGATAATTCCATTAATAAAAAGTAAGTTCCACTCAAACAGCCTCTTCCCAGTAACTGATTTGCGAGCATCAACAATTCTTTTTTCTCAAGTCTAAACTAATTTCCTTTGTTTTTGATATGATGCTTTCAAAATTGACCACTCAAAACCTTACTTATGTTGTGTGTATATTTAAAGATAATCCTCAGTGTTAATTTC